AGATTTGTGCCTTTAATTCTCTCAGGTAAAATACTTTGGAATTTTTTTTTTTTTGACTTGTAAAATATTGTCGATTGTCTTCACTTGTGAGTATAATCACATATGTAACGAATCACGTGAAGTTCTGATGATTTTTTTACATTATCTTTTCCTGTTTTATTTTTTGCCTGCCGTTTACTTGATGTTGGTTCTATTTTTTCGTTTTTGACATGCCAAAAATCAACCCATTTTGATTTGGAGCTTCCGTGCACAATAAATTCATGGGAGATTTGGAAGGAAAGAAACAAAATATTTGTTGAATACGTGTCGGACGGAGAGAGATTGAATAAGATCATAAACTCAATGACTAGTTGGGTGCCTTATTACAAAAGGATGTTGTGATATCTCAAGTCATGATTTGGTATTCAATACTGTAAGAGGTAATTAAGATGGTATCTCATTAAAGTACACCTTTAATGTGTGGGGAACCCACCATATTTAGTACAAATCAAGATGAACTTTGATTAGGCAACTCGGGCCTAGCATTATATTGCGCCATCAATATGAACTATAAGTGAACATGGCATTGTTCAATTTTACATGGCCTTTCTAATGCTAGTGTCGTGTCAAAGATCGACACTCGTGTCCAGGAGATAAACAAAAAGGTAAATGGTTTGATAGGGTTGCAGTTCTATCAAAATAAATAATGCATCATTTTATAACTCATCGAAAATTGCAATTCAAGCATTGAAAAACCTTTACATCGATCATCTCGGCTTGAACATTATAATTGTGAAAACAAATTAGGATTTCAAGCTCTAAAGATAGTGTATATTTTAATAAATTTCTAAACATTCATTTCCCCCAAAAAATAAGTATTCAAAGATCTGTAATCTTTGTACTTTTTTTTAGTTTCAAATTTTATTGTCGGTGTTGGAAATTTAGTTTAGAGCCATTATGGAGATTTCTTTGCTGAAAGTGTTTTCCAGACGAGGATTTGATATGAGGCTTTATTTGATTTTCATAAAGCCTAAGCCTTATAAAAACTTCATCCAAACATAAAATCTTGGAAAAAAGCCATCGCATTGACATTCATGAGATGTTTATGGTTGGTACTTGGCTACGGCGGTATCAAGCGAGTTGTTGCTTGCAACTCCAGGTCCCACAATTTTGAGTTATCATCGTTCATTTTGGAAAACACAGTCAAGATGCTATTTTATAAAGCAGAGGCAGCCATTTGATTATGAAAATAAGTCCATATAAAATATATATACTTTGTATAAAGTTGATAAAAAAAGGGCGAGTTTGGTATAAGGTGTCACTATATATTATACATGTAAGGGACGCTTTTAAATTTCTACAGTAGTTCCCGTATCGAAAACCTTACGATGACTTGAAAATCTATGTTCAACCCTAGGTATGAAATTCAAAATTTCATAAAATAGTGCACAATGAGCGGATCTATAAACACTTGAAGTTATTGAAATAGATGGTCCGGATAACTTGTTACAAGATATACGATTTTTAAGACTTGAAAATTTTTTTTTTTCTTGTATCCCTATGTGTCAAGGTCGATATGATCAATTAGAAGGTGTTCCAACTTTGAAATACTGTTATTTTTTACTAGATTTTTTAGGTGCACTTTACTTCCATATTATAAGGTTGAAACTTTATATGAACTTTTTCCTTTAAAAAAGATGATTTCAAGTCCAAAAATAGCGCATCTTGTAATATATTATCTGAATATTCTATTTTTCAAGATTTTCAAAGTATTTATATTTTTACTTGATTTGAACCACTTTTGGAGCTTTAAATTTCATAATTAAAGGTAAAAAAATTGATTTCCAAATCGTGTAGAATTTTCAGGCACGAAATTTCTATCTTCTCACAAAGTTTAGAGGCCCGTCTTACTTTTGTTTAAGGTTGCGTGCATATACAAACAACAACCTTTGATTCTTGATTAGGAAAAGTAGAGCTTCGAAAACACGACAAAAAATTATCCAAACATTTCTATTGGTACGTTCATGGCACTTTTTTATTTGTAATTTTTTAAAATGACTGAATTACTTATACCTCAAATCATCAAGATCCAAAATTTTGTAAGAAGTTTGGAAAATTTTGGATCTGGAAGATCCAAAATTTAAAGTTTAGAGTGCCTAATGGAAGTTTTGGTTTCCAAAATCTGAAAATTTTCATCTTCGGATTTTCAAAATCTAAAATTTCCAAATCTTGAAATTTGGAAAATCCAAAATATCAAGAATTTCATATTTTGAAAATACTAAATTCCTTTTGTTACCATGAGAGATTAGTAGTGGGTTTGATGTGCTATTGGAGCAAGAAAAACTTTCGAATTTTCAAAATCCGAAATTTCCATAGGAATTGTGGATTGAGATAAAGGTATTTTGGGAAAACACGAAAATATAAAAAAGGGGTGGTGAACATAAATGTGAAAATTGAAAAGGAATTCTTTAATAACAACATTTTAGGGGGATATGCATGTTCTCATTTTTTTTATTCTCCATGCTTTGCAAATTTATTTATTTCTTAATGCCTTTGATACAAAAGATGAAGCATATACAATTACTCCCTCTGTTAAAGCTCTATCTAAATGCATTTTTAGGATTATAAATTTTGGAAATGTAGCTTCCGATTCCAGCAACCAACCTTTGAAAAAAAAATACAAAAAATTATCTTGTATAATATGTGAGAGAAATAATATCCCAAGAGTGCTCACCATTTTCAAAAAAAGTAACACTGTTTTGGAACTCAAAATAATATTTTTACAAAAAAAAAGTTTATTTAAGATGTCAACCTTATGCTATGGAAGTGCACTCTCTAGAAAAGATTGTTCTAATGTTGAAAAACCCTCCAATGGTTTATCTCGACTTTGAGATATATGGATATAGAAAAATAAATAATTTCAAGTATTAAAAATAACATATTTTGTAACATATTATCTAGACCATAGATTTTTAATATTTTGAAGTGTTTATATATAATGCTCAATCTACACTATTTTTTAATGTTTAAATTCTATAGTATGGATCAGAGTAGATTTTTGGCCATTCAAAGAAGGAAAAAGTTCATATAAGGATGCAACCTTATAATGTAGAACTAGGGATGCACCTAAAAATCTATCAGAAAAGGTAGTTTTAATGTTGAAAAACCCTTTGATTGATCATCTCGACATCAAGATGTATGCCCATGAAAAATAAAAAGATTTTCAATCTCAAAAATAGTGCATTTTACAACATATTATCTACACCGTCCACTTTCAAGATTTTTATATGTTAATAGATCTACTTGATTTTAACCATTTTTGAAATTTAAAATTTTATAATTAGATATAAAAATAGATTTTGAGTTAATCCTAAAAACATTTTATATCAAAATTATATACCATGGTAAAATTTGAATGTGTACCTTATCTTTACACCTATGAATGCATCCGTATGCCAACTGCACCCTTCAAAGAATTTGAGGCACTGAAATATCTTTTCGGCGCTATTTGAAGGTGTACCTTACTTTAATTATTTAATGCATAAATCTTATACAAACAACACCTATCTACAAAGGGTAAGGTTTGTTTAGAGCAGAGGCTCTAAACAATCAAAGTAAAGCGCACATTCAAATATTTTCAAGAAATGTGGTTGCAATACTAGAAATCTTTGTGATAGCCTTAAAATATATTTTTATTTTTAATTATAAAATTTAAGGCTTCAAAAATAGTGTAGATCAAGCAGATCTATGAAAACTTGAAAATCTTGAAAATTGACGGTTCAAAAATACGTTACAAGATGCACTCTTTCCAAAACTTGAAATTTATTTATTTTTTTCTCCTGTCCATGCATCTTGGGCAATTTGAGGATATTTGGGTGTCAAAATAACCTCTTCTAATGAAATTTTTTAGGTAGACTCTAATTTGATTGTTTAGAGCCTCAGCTCTACATAAACGTTTTCCTTTTACAAAATGCTCAAGCCAGCTATTAAGCTCTCGTTTTCTAAACCGGTCTCGGCAAAAAGAATGGACTGGTGCGTGAGAAATATGGATTAATAGAAGCTGTGGTACGGATATTTTCTCAAATATCTCAAAATTAAACTTGAAAAATAAAAGAAAAAAGTTTATATAGAGCCAAGGCTCTAAACAATTAAATTAAAACGCACCTCCAAAATTTCGTTGGAAGAGGTTGTTTTGTTGTCCAAATATCCTCAAATTCATCAACTCGACGTCAAGATGTATGGACATGAGAAAAAAAATGGATTTCAAGTTTTGAGAATAGTGCATTGTGTAACGCATTTTTGGACCGTCAATTTTCAAGTTGTATAGATCTGCTCGATCTATACTATTTTTAAAGCTTTAAATTTTATATTTAAAAATAAAAATATATTTTAAAACTATCACAAAAATTTTCAATATTAAAACCACATTTCTCGACACTATTTTTAAGTGTGCTTTGGTTCGATAGTTTAGACCCTTGGATCTGTACAAAACGCAAAATAAAATCGACAAAGTTGTTAATTTTAACAGTACGGCTTATACCGGAAATCAATATCTATTATAAATTCCGAAGACATTATGCTCCCATAGGAGTATGCAGTCCATTTACTATCTGAAGTAAAACCCCAAGATTAATTTTAGAACCCTGGATCTTGGGATGTAACCCCTTCAATCCCCAGGATTAATTTTAGAACCCCGGATCCTGGGATGTAACCCATTCAATTCATAGACTACCTAAATGAAAAAAAAAAAGAAAAAAAAATCCTAATTACATTAACTATGCACTCGAAAAAAATATTGTCTTGAGATTGCATAAATGTTTAATTTTTGCGGTATTTGAAAATAATCATCACTAAAGGTGGTTTTTAAGATTTTTACTGAATATATTTTCTTAAATAGGTCTCCTTATGACTTAGGAATAATGTACATTATGCTCCCGCGAGAGCATAGTACATTATGGTAATTGATGGCTATTAATTGCACCATGTTTGTCGTTACTCATCATCTCTTCAATAGAGGGAAAATCAGAGAAGAGAGAGGATCGGTTTCTCCCTCGTCTCTTCAAGCTGAGGAAATCCGTTAACAGACGTGAAGGTCACGACCGTTTTCCGGGGGCTACGACAAAAAAAATCCGACCACAGGGAAAGGCCCAGCCGAAAAACTGCCGCTTGAGGGCTGTTTCTGTCATCGAACTTGGCCGTGAAACCACCATTATTTACAGAGAGCACCTTTCATTTCTTGAAGCTTGGAGATTCGTGTTCTATAGAATACGGTTGGTATGAGCTTTGTGTAGATTCAGTCATTCTCTCTGGTTGTCTTGAGCTTTCAAGTTTTGTTTTTGGGGCTTTATCAGTTTTTGGACATAATGCCTGGGAGCATCTCAAATGTTTTGGACCATCACTCGATTTGTGTTGCGCAGGGCCATGCTAATCTTCTCTGTATAATTCCAATTTTATCAGAGGTCTCCAAAGAAATGAAAAAATATTAATTTCATAATCCATTCCTGTTCTGATAAATTTCATCTCCCAATTGATCGCAGAATGTATCTCAGCCAATTGTTCAATCATGGAAAAGGAAAAACTCAGTCCATAATTATCTTTTTTTTTTGGTTGATTCATATTCAGAGTTAGCCGTTGATTGAGACTTGAGTTCATGCATTTGTAATGCTTATTTCATCTTTTTTTTTTTTAGAGAGAATGGATATCGTTAGAGCAATTCAGGGAAGCCAGGATCGAAGGCTGGTGACCAAATACAACAATGCCATCTATGTCATACAAAGGGCTCTTGCATTATACTCGTAAGGGATCGTAGCTTTTGATTTCAGCTGTTCCAGTTTGAAAAGTGCTTGTTCATTTTCTAATTTTGCTGTTTATTTGGGGCAATAATTGATAGACATAAAACTTTTTTAGGGTAGTTCTGCTGTAGGATTTGAAATTGAGATTTACTGTTGCCATCGTCAAGACCTTACTAATCAAGCCCAATCCCCAATCCTCCAACTTGCAAGTTCATTTATTTGAATAATTTGGGTTTTTTCATTAGTTCAAGGGAACTGCTGTTCTGTACATTCTTCTTATCTGTGATATGAAAGTTGATGATCGTGACCTTGGATGACAAGTTTGCAATTTAGTGTGTACGTTGTAAGTGGGGTGATTTTGAAGTCCTTGATTTGAAGTGCTTGGGATTGCTTGGATTTTCTGGAAAGAATGTAGAGTTCATTTAGTTTTATGCGTTATTTGATGTATCATGTAATCATCCTTTTCACTTTTGATAGGTAATGAAGTACTTAATTTCTTAGTTGCAATGTTACATAGACCGGACTGTAAAAGACTACAAAGTTTAAAAAAAAAAAAAAAAAAAGGAAAAGGCAGAAAAATTGTATTAATTGCATATTTTTAGAGAGAGAGAATTTCGTGCATTACATCCGCTCGATAATTTTACTAAAATCCCTATATGGACATCATTATAATAGAATTCTTCATTTCTATCATTTCTGTTTCTATCTGAGTATGTATAGACATCACTCTAGGGACTCTTAAGCACTACTGACTGACTGAGCTAACTACACTTAATAAACCCATGCCTAGAGTGCTGCTTCAGCAGAAACATGACATCCGTAATTTATGAAGTTACTAATGCATGTTACACAATAAAAAGTTAACGTTGAATCTCTGTAAGCGATATCATTAAGTCCAACTAGAAATCCTAATTTAAAGAAATGAAATCAGTTGTTGGCTCCTTGCCTTCTGTCCCACCATTGCCTTCACTTGCCATACAAAAATTATTGTTGGTTAATAAGATACTAAAAATTAAGTTGCGGTCATGCTTGCTACTTTGTCTACTTGGCTTCTCATGAATTTGTCTCTGGTAGCGGTCAGTCTGTCACTCCCAAATTATTCTTCATCTCCTAAAGGATTTCTTACTTGTCTTCAATAGAAAAAGATCACAAAAAAAACACCGTAGTTACCTTGTACTAGTACAAACCAACCTCTTGCTGCAACCATACTTTTCCATTCCCTCGTGAAGATTAATTAACATTTTAGTTATAGAAACATACAGTAGGTTTGAAGGAGAAGAAATCTGAATTACATTATTATATTTGTTTATAACTTTATATGCTTATCTCTAATAGTCTCCCAACCAAGTGACTTTTAGTTCTTTTTTTTTAATTGTCTTATTCCTTTTTTTCTAAATAATAGTAGACTGGTTGGGAACCAGTGCTTTTTATTGTTTTGTGATAGGATGGTTTTCATTTCTATTTTTACCCTTTCTTGGATGAATTGGTTGTGGTTGCATGTTGATTTTGCTGCTGGTTTTTAGCTGCAGAGCCACTTAGTTGTGTTTTTTTTCTTTTAACATGTTCTATCTGGTCTCCTTTTTTTCACATATCAAGTAATTGAATCAGCTAGCACTTTGACCATATGCTTTTTGCAGGTTCGAGGAAGTTGCTTTCAGCTTCAACGGAGGGAAAGATTCAACTGTATACTATTCAACCTTTTCCTAAAATGAGTGAGGTTCTGATTTAGTTGCGAATATGGGTTATGAACATTTACCATGAAGTTTCATGTTCAGGTCTTACTGCATCTCCTTCGAGCTGGGTATGCTCTACAAGAGGACCGAGCTGGTTGTTTGAATGTGGAGTGCAGTAACTCAAAGTTGAAACATCCAATACGAACTATCTATTTTGAGAGTCCCTGTGCATTCCTTGAAATCAATGCATTCACTTATGAAACGGCAGCTGCGTGAGTCTTTTAACCTGGTTTAAGTTGTTTTGCTTTTGTCTTTTCCACATACCAGGAAATGTGAGTCGATCGTGTGCTCTGATCGTGCAAGTATGTGAAATATGAAAGCTTATGTCATGTTTTAGTCAGCAGTTAAAACTCTTTTTCTGTACAGTTATGACTTGCAGTTGGAAATTATTCGCCTCGATTTCAAAGCTGGTTTGGAGGCACTACTTAGGGAAAAGCCTGTAAAAGCCATCTTTCTTGGTACCCGTATTGGTGACCCTAATGCGGTATGTGAGCAGTGAGCTTAAATATATATATTTTTTATTTAGTTCAAGAAGTTGAACCTTAGATGTTTTGTGGACCCTACTGGCAAATTTTTAATTATGTCAATGAATCACCTACTGCTACACTTACAATTGTGATCTATACTGGTATCCAAACCATGAATTCACAGGCACACAGGCGAGAGTGTGTGTGTTCGTGTGAGAGAGAGAGAGAGAGAGAGAGAGAGAGAGAGAGAAATGGTTAACCATTTGGAAAGATTAAAATCCCTAGGATAAAAATGGTATTCTTAAGAAGAAAATCTCATAGCATAAAAATGGTATTACTTCAAAAAATGAATCAAACATTAAAATTTTAAATATATTTGAAAAGCATATAGTAATTACTTTAAGAAACGAATCAGAACATTGAAATTCTAAATAGATTTAAAAAGCATGAGATGCGTCTTCTTTCTACTAACTTGTTAATTGTGGCTATTAAGTTGGAGCATTTTCTAAGTTCTTAAGTTAGAGCATTTTTGAGAAGGCCTCCTATTTAGATGAAGCCATGAGGGTGTTATCAAATTTAAAATTATCATACAAAAGAGATATCCTTTTAATGGAATTATTCTTTTTAAGAAATGGCATTTTAGGAACTAGATCTGATATATGTCCCTCCAAACCCTCATTTAGTAATATATTGTTTATATTTTTTAAATGGCAACTTACATGTTGCATGTCCAGGTTGGTCAAGAACAGTTTTCACCAAGTTCACCTGGATGGCCGCCATTTATGAGAGTGAATCCCATCTTGGATTGGTCCTACAGGTTCTCTTTAAATTATCGAGCTGCATGCTGACCCTTTTGAAGTACTAGAATAGTGGCTCTGCTCCTCTGGCATGAATGCAGTTTGTGCTAACAACCTTACTGTATGTTGCTTGCAGAGACGTGTGGGCTTTTCTATTAACATGCAAGGTTCCTTACTGCAAGCTTTATGACCAAGGGTAAGTCTTCACCCTCAATTTGAACAATGTATTCTTACAGAAAACATTCTAAACTCATTTTTCGGTGTGTCTCATCCTTCTCCAGATGGTTAAAGTCATTACTTCCGTGAACAGTGGCATGAATAGTGCTGTGAATAGTACCATGAACAGTGAAAAATGTTTGAAACTAGAGAGAAAGAAAAAAGAAGAGGAAAAGAAAGAGAAAAAAGAAGAGGAAAAGAAAGAGAAAAAAGAAGAGGTAAAGAAAGAGAAAAGAGAGAAAATATGAAAGAGAAGAGTGGAGAGAGTGAAATGAGATTCAGTCACCTCATGCCCACTAAGATCTTTATTTATATTGTTTGTTTAGGGTTTACAAAGGACAAAAATACCCTCAATGAAAATAAGTATCCTAAAGTATATGAATATGACATAAATGCCCCAATACACAAAACAAGTTATTCTTTGACACTTCCCTTAAGCTGGAGCATAGATGTCACCCATGCCTTGCATGGAACAAATTTGTTGAGTCGGGTTACGACTAGGCGCCCTGGTGAACATACCAGCCAATTGATCCAATGACTTCACATATGGGGTTGTTATTTGCTTGCTGGTTACTTTTCTCATGAATGAAGTGACAATCCATTTCAATATGTTTTGTTCTTTCATGAAAAACTAGTTGCCTACAATATGAATGGCTGCCTGATTGTCACATAACATCTTCATTGTTTCAGTAATTGAAAAATCCATTTCTTGCATCAAGGTCTTCAGCCACATTAACTCACATATAGTATGAGTTATAGCTCTATGCTCAGCCTCTGGACTAGATCCGATGCAGTTAAAAATTGCGTTATTCAAAAAATTCTTAACTTTTCCTTGCATCAAGATCCTGCCACCACATTCTATTTCTTGCTATGCCAAGTCACCATTCCTCCAACAAAGGTGCAATAGCTCGTAATAGATCTTCTATCTGGAGGTGATCTTGCCTCAACATTAGAATAACTCTCAATACCAAAGGGCTCCCTCAGGTATTTCAAAATTCTTTTTACTACTTCCCTATGTGGACTTCTAGGAGAATGCATAAACTGACATACGACACTTACAACAAAGGTTATATCTGGTCTAGTGATTGTCAAGTAGCTAAGTCTACCTACAAGTCTTCTATAACTGTCAGGATCTTCTAGTAAGTCTCTTTGATCCACTGAAAGTTTGGAACTTGGATCTATGGGTGTATCAACCGGTTTAGCCCCTAACATCACTGTTTCTATTAGTAAATCAGTTACATATTTCCTTTGGGAAAGACTAATACCATAATGTGACGAGCTACTGCAATCCTAAGAAAATACCTCAGTTGCTCCAAGTCCTTTTGTCTGAACATACTATTGCAGATAATTCTTAAACTTCTGAATTCCTTCTTGATCAGTGCCTGTAATAATAATATCATCAACATAAACAACTAAGACAATAATTCCATGGGCTTGTTTTTGAATAAATACTGAATGATCCACATGGCGCCCCTGAAAACCATACGCCATAGTGAGTTCGTTGAATTTCTCAAATCATGCGCATGGTGACTGCTTTAGGCCATAAATTGCTTTCTTCAACCTACATACCTTGTCCGACTCCCCTTGAGTAACAAACCTTGGTGGTTGCTCCATATAGACTTGTAAATTCCTATAGAGGAATGCATTCTTAACATCAATTTGATAACCACCCCGTATGTGCTGCTGTAGATATAACTACCTTAATCGAATTAAGTTTTGCCACAGGAACAAATGTCTTAGAATAATCAATACCAAATGTTTGTTCTACCCTTTAATCTCTCCACAGATCCATCTGGCTGGTACTTAATAGTATATATCTAATGACATCCAATTGTTCTAGCCTTTAATCTCTCGACAGATTTGTCGGCTGCTCGAGTTGGTGGTGATGGTCCTTCTTTTAATTGCCGTTTCGTATACACTTTGAGAGGTTGCTCCTATGGAATACTAGTCATAGGAGGAGAGATAGGCTCTACAGTAGGAGATACTTGAGATAATGAATAATCAACAGAGAAAAGATTAGGAATGGAAACAAGAGTAGAAGAAGTAATGCGTTGTGAATTCACCTCTTGTATAGACTGTCCGGAAGCTATTTCTAGCATTTTACCCTCATTATAAAAGTATGGAATTTTTCATAAAAGGTAAGATCTGCATGCACAAAGTTCTTTTTCAAAATAGGGTGATAACACTAATAACCTGTTTGGGTACAAGAATTTCCTAAAAATACACATAATAGCTCGGGGATCCAATTTGTATGTTCCAGGACCTAAGACCTGAACAAAGCAAACACACCCAAAAACTCTAGGGGGCACAATAAACATGGGTCTATTGGGAAAAAGCAAAGAATGTGGTGATTTTCCATCCAAACCAAAGGAAGACATACGATTTTATCAAATAACAAGCTATCAAAACAACATCTGCCCAAAAAATTTCGGGTATGTGCATATTTAACAATAAAGCACGAGTTGCCTCTATTATATGACAGATTTTTTTCTCTGCTACTCCATTCTGTTGGAGAGTAGGCGCACATGATGTGTCATGCAAAATGCCATGTGTGGCTAAATAATTCTGGAAATCTCAAGACAAATATTCTTTAGCATTATTTGAATGCAAAACACAAATATTCTTTCCAAACATAGTTTGAATTTCTTTATGAAACAAGCAAAAAATAGACAAGGCCTCAGATTTGTCTTTCATTAGATATAACCATGTCATCCGAGAAAAATTATCAATAAAATTAAAAAATATCCGTAACCACAGACTTTGAACTCTAGGAGGATCCCAAACGCCTGAAAGAACAACTGGAAAAGCCACAAACTCTCGTTCATTAATTCCAGAAGGAAAAGAGGTTCTATGATGCTTTTCTAACTCACAAGCCTCACACTCAAGAGTTGGCATCAACTCTAATGAATAGACTAACATCTTCAAATGATTGATAGATGGATGACCAAGTCTGCAATGCCATTGAAGAGGGGAAATACTAGAATGTAGAGCAGCACCCACAAGGCTATTATTAAGATGCTAGAGCCCACCAGACTCACGACCGCCACCAATCATCGTCTTTGTCTTTAAATCTTGAGAAACATAATATAAGGGATAGAAAGTCACTGAACACTAAAAGGCGATTTAGCTACTTTATTGACTGGCAATAAACTGAATGAAAACTTTGGAACATAAAGAACAAAAGATAATGAGAGTGAAGAAGGACACACAACGCCTTTACCCGATACAATAGATAAAGAACCATCTTTTAGAGTGACAGTAGTAGCGCCATCTGGTTTATTGAGAGACGAGAACATAGAGGACTCACCAGTCATATGATCAGAGGCTTCTGAACCAATGAACCAAAGAGAAGCTTTCTGAGATGTAAGGAATGTAGAAATACTTGTATTAGCCAGAGTAGCACTGGAAGAGGAGGGATGAGTAGATGGCTCTAACTAACTGTATTCTTCTCGTGAGAGCAACATTGAGTCACTAACAAAATGTAGAGCTTGGTCTTGATCGTTGCAGCCAATTGGGTGCACACCATCATCTTCAGAAATTTAGGACACCTGGTTAGCCCAAGCAGGCTTACCAAACTTATTCTAGCATTTTCAACAGTGTGATTTGTCGCCCACAATAAGTGCACTTCCTGCTGCCTCGACCTTTACCACAACCTCTCGCTAAATCATGACCAGGTCTTCTATTTCCACTACCACGGCCTCGGCTGTCACCTCTACCCATGGAGGAGGTTAAAGTAGGCCCATCACCAATGCTAGTAGCCGATGAGGAAGAAAATACAGTAACTCGTTGAAGGCTAGAATATACATTATTGAGAGAGGGAAGTTCACTACTAGCTAAGATCTTCCCTCGAACAACATGATACTCAGAATTAAAATCAGATAGGAACTTTGCAACTCTTTTTGCTTTTTAAGAAGTTCCATATCGTTCGCTAGGGTTGATAAATATTCAACTCTTCCCACACCTCGAAGAGAATTATAATAATCCCAAAGGCTTTTATCTCCTTGTTGTAAGAGGCATATACTCTCATAAATTTGATAAATCCGAGAAATATTTTTATCATAGTATATTTCCTGTACCGCTTCCCACACTTCCTTAGTAGTATCATAGAATATAACATCAGCTCTTACATGGGGTTCCATACTATTTCATAGCCATGTTATAATCTGATAGTACTCCCAAAGCCACTGATTATACCCACTTTCTGACTCTTTTGGGTGTTCTTTAGTTAAAATTTTCATCTTACCTCTTGCGCTTAGAAAAACCTTTATGGCTTGCGCTCATAAAAGGTAATTGGACCCATTTAATTTTTCAAAGATTGCTGGAGTTCCTATCAGTGTTCCCATAAATGCCAGGCGGCCGTGGGGGTCTAGGGCGCCCATCGCTTAGGCGGGCACCCAAAACCTAGCGGCCTAGTAGAATAAAAAGTTGTTTTAAGCTCAAATATTGTGTAAAAAATTTAAAAATACATATTGAGACATATTCTAGTCCATTATTTCATGCGCTTTAAATTGAGACATATTAAAAAATACATATTGTGACATATTTTAGTCCATAATCCAAGATAGCAACTTAGCAAGACATCGATTCATCATCAAGAAAATGAAAGAAAATAAGAAATAACACATTGGATTAAGGGGGCACATCAAATGTCTATAATCCACAAGTTCGCATACACTCGTCCATACTCCATTAGTTCATATTCATAGTCCACACATAGTCAAAACTACACATAGTCAAAACTTAAAAGGTTACAACCACAGTACACAACCAATAGGAGGAAAAGAAAAATGAAAAAAAAAATATAGACTTGAAGACTCAAAAGAGTCTTAAATCATCACTTATCATCAGAAAAAGCAGGGTTAGTTGCATCTGCATCATATGCATCGGAGTTAAGGCCATCATCATCGGAATCATCTCCCTCAACATAATAGTCATCCTTCTCTGTCTCTTCTGAATCTAGCTCTGCTTCCTCTTCTTCTT